TGCGGACGTCTATTTAGGTATAATTCTACCAATTTTGTCTCCACGCTCCCATGCTTTCTAGCTTCTTTAAAAGAATTGAATGGTCAACCTTGTCGAATGCGCGACTCTTGTCACAAAATAGTCCTATTAGGTACTTGTTTTTTTTGTGTCCAGAGCCGTATGAATATAGTCCATAGTTTGTTCCAGCGCAGTATAAAGTTAAAAGATTAGGTCTTAATCCATTCTGACACGGAGAGAGTATATTATTTGATTATAAAAATCCAGATAGCCTTTTGTTAAGCAGCTTTAAAATATTTTTTCAAATTGTACTTGTAACGACACCGATAATTTATTGGGTTTGATTATATGCCTTTTAAAAAAATGGGATATTTGGATATTTTTAATTTCTTATAAGAGTATAGTTTCTTATAAGAGTATAGAGTATGTCCCTTCTTCAAAACTTTTATTTAATAAAACGATCAAAGGGTGATATATATTTAAGGATTTTCAGAAGTAGGGTACTTCATCCATTTTCTGTTATTTTCTTTCTATTTTTATCCTAAAAACTACATTATATAACAATTTAAATAAAACATTGCATTTGTTCGCGTTTGATGTAAAACCTTATAAATTCAGGACAATTTATAAGGCTGTTTATTAATTTATAAAGAAGTAATAATTGGTTTAAAACCTTCTGCAGGGCCGGCCCGAGGTACGGGCGAACCGGGCAACCGCCCGGAGCGGCACAATGGGGGGGCGGCATCGAGGGGTCAACCACCCAAAGGAAAAACGTCCAGGGATTCCCATGTATACCCATGTATTCCCATTGTATTCCTATGCTATTCCCCCAGGTATTCCTAGTTGTGGTTGACCCCTCGGGCGGCATTTTTACGATGTGTTAATGATAATAAATTTCAATGAACATTATACAAAAATTTCGATTGGCGATTTTTTCCAGTATTAAGCTTTGTTACAAATGATTTAATTAATTAATTAATTAATTTAATTTAATAGAGGCGCTCTCGGAAGACGACGCTGGCGCCCTCTTTTATTTGTTTCTTCAATCATATCCTGTAGTTTTCTTTACTGTGTTTGACAATTGACAATTAATTGAAAAATATCTCACGATCGTGCATTGTAAAATCAGTGAATTACTAAGGTAGTTTGATAATTATCTAATTATAATTAGAAGTTTAAAATGTCTGAAAAACGCAAAAAAGATACAGGAGCTTTTTATATACACCAAAAAAGGGCGCGTGAGGCGGAAAATCGAGTTCTAGCAGCAACATTTTCCAAATTCTTGCAAAAAAAACCATCGTGTGAAGGTATAATAAATATACTATAATTTAATAATATTGCATACCGTAAACACGGGTGGCTTTGAACCCCGCGGGTGACTAACCTTTTTTAAAAAATATTTTCGCGTTCGATAAAATTAACATTAATAATTTGTTGGTCAAAACCTGTCAAATAAGCGATTATATTTAGTTTATATTACAGGAAAATCAGTGTTTTAAAGAAATAAATGGGATTTATTACAAATTTATCGCACATTTCGTTATTTAAATAATATTTAAATTTCTATATTAAAATCATAGTATTTTTTTCTTTTTTGCGACGTAAGCCAGTATATTGCCTTACCTATTGGTGATTCTAAAGCATAAAAAACTAAAAAATAATTACGTTAAACTACTTTTGCCACTATTTCTGCCTAATAACAAGGGGGCGGCAAAAATATCTTCGCCCGGGGCGGCAAAAAACGTCGGGCCGGCCCTGACCTTCTGTTGTGTAAATCTAAAATATTTACCAAATCCACTGTAGCTCCGAATCAAAGGACCAACCAGGGAACCTGCCAAGGTCGCCAATTTAAGGGGGCGTCAAATGCATGTGTTTAAATATTTTAAAAGTTTTTATTTTTAATAATTTTATGAAGGCAATTTGTTAAAAAGGCCTTGAATCAATGGTTTTGTTAAAAAACTTAGATAACTTTTAATTTTAGGTAAATAATTTTCTGAAAATTCCGATTTTTTTTAAAAATTACCTAAATTTATACCTTTTTTATATATTTTTATATTTATCTCAAATATCATTGATAAAAAGAGTAAACAAAAGAGGCGATAGATGATAAGCTGGTACCTACACCAGAAGTGACAATTTTTTTTATGTGTATGGATTTTGTATTACCATGGTTTGAGATTTGTCGCTTAGAAAGCTGTTTAATCAGATACAAAGTTGTTACCTACACCAAGAGCACTTAATTTGGCTGAGAAATTAGTGTAATTCACATCCTTTTGCAGCCCTTTCTCCAAGTCATTTATTATTCCTAACCAGAAATGCAAGGTTTGTTTCCTTGTAAAATCCCTGTTGATTTACATTTACATTTTTAAAATAGGTTTAATTTTATTACAAATTATGTTTTTTTTTTTGCAACTGGGCGGTAATTATTTACTGTTGCACTGTCTATTGCTTTTAACAAAGGGATTGCAAAGATTAAATTTAAAATTCGTGAGTCATAAAACTAGATTTTACTTATCTATTTTATATTTACAACAAAATTTAGGTACAATAATATCCGCAAAATAATCGGCAATTATTTGAGAATCATCAGATTTATTGTTATTAAAAGTCATAGAATTGGGTAAGAAATTATCCGATTGTTTTGTTTTTAAATGATTCCAAAAGTATTTTGAGTTTTTATTTATACTGTTTTAGATATTTTTATTATGTAGGTATACATGATACATTTTTGGCTCACACCCTTAAATGTAACTTTTAAATTACAGAATATATTATAGTATATAATGAAAAAGTCATGTTTATAATTTTTTTATTAAGTATATATACTTTCAATATATATATACATTTATACTATATATACTATAATATATACGGTGGTCTAGTGGTTAGTGCATGCTGACTACAAGCCGGAGGTCGTGGGTTCGAATCCCACCAGGGGTATGGCTGTTTATTTGTGTTTGTCCTATTGTGTATTAGTCCTTCGGAGGGGACTTTAAGCCCACGGTCCGTTCGTACCCCTAACCCGCACAAGCCATTCAGTTGGCTTATGGGACTTCTTAAGAAGTAAGGGTGGAACTAAAAGAGCACTTTTTTGTATATATATATATATATATTGGGGTGTTTCAAAAAAATCGACTTTTTCTTTTTCTTCAAATGGTCAGCAAATTCTTTCAGAGGATGTCAAAACAAAGACCTCGTTAAAATTTGAGCTTTTAATTTGAAGATTTATGGGTCGCGGATCGCAATTTTCTATTTCCCATTTAAATAACATAGGAAATTTTTTTTTTTTAACTTTGAAATTTTATACGTCTATATCGAATCAACTTATGGCAAGGAACATCTTAGATTTTTATAGTAAATTTAACGCTCTATAAAAAATGTCTCTTATAATTTTTCTATAAATTGATTTCTTCCAGAGTTATTCGAGGCCAAAGTTTGATTTCCATCGAATTTTCTCGTTTTTTCAACTTTTAGCATCATGTAGTAAAAAAATCACATATTTATATCTGAAACATAGGAAGTGTTGTAAAAAAAAACAAAAAAACAAAAAAACGTCACTTTTTTCCAAAGCCTACTACAAAGTTTTAATGAAAATATGAGATGTGTATAATATGCAAAGTAATTTATTTATAAATGCATTTTTCTCGAAAATGGTGCGTCTGAGCAATTCAAATCAGTACCTATTTTTCGTAAAAAACTATAAATTCTCATAATTTCATAAAAAAAATTAAATTATTAACCCAGTAAAAAGTTGGGGCTATTTTTGTAACTTGGCCCCCTCCAAATGTTACGAATATACGAATAATACACTGTTTAAGTTTGGCCCCCTGATTTCGGGACACCCGTATAATGATAATTGTACCATAAATGTTAAAAAAACGCGAAAATTCGATGGAAATCAAACTTTGGCCTCGAATAACTCTGGAAGGAATCAATTCATAGAAAAATGATAGGAGACCTTTTTTGTAGAGCGTTAAATTTACTATAAAAATCTAAGATGATCCTTGACATAAGTTGATTTGATTCAGACGTATAAAATTTCAAAGTTAAAAAAAAAAAATTCCCATGTTATTTAAATGGGAAATAGAAAATTGCGATCCGCGACCTCTAAATCTTCAAATTAAAAGCTCAAATTTTGACGAGGTCTTTGTGTTGACATCCTCTGAAAGAATTTGCCGACCATTTGAAGAAAAAGAAAAAGTCGATTTTTTTGAAACACCCTAATATATATATATATATATATATATATAATATATTATATACTATATATACTATATAGTTTAGACGGAAGATATATGTTCCGTCTAAAGTATACAAAAAATGTATGATTATTTATTACATTTTTATACAAACAACTAATAATTCATAAAAATTAATTAACACAATCATCTGTATATTAGGGTGGGCCGGAAAAAATAATTTTTGTTTGAAAGCGATATACCGCGAAAAACTTGCTTCTAGGATAGATAGATGCAATAAAAAAAATTACAAAAATAGGGCCCCAGCTAACACTTTAAATTTTAAATCACAATAATGACACATTTGACGTTATTTAATTATTGCTGATTGTGTTATTTTTGACAGAAAGAGATAACGCTGTCTGTAACTCGGCAGTTTCTGTTGTCCTGTAGGTTTCTATAGTTTATTGTGTTTAGGTTTATAAAAGTTTTCATTGTGTTTATTGGTTTATTGTGTTTAAGTTTATAAAAGTTGTGTTTGCGTAATGGATGTTAATTGCCCATTGTTTGGTCATCCGAAGGAGTTATCTGAGAGTAAACTCCCAACATAATAAGACGTTCTTAGTTGCTGTTTTTACGAACAATATAAATTAGCATTGAAAACTAAAAAGCCTTATAGTTTTTCTCACGTTTCGAATATTTTGGGCTTTAATACCAAAAGTAACGCTTTACAGAATTGTTCAATTAGTTAATGCTTACCATGATAGCGACCTTAATCTAATAAAGTCTTTTAAGCGTGACAAAAACAAAGAAAAGTTTAAAAAGATGATGGAAGAATTCAAGCAAAAGGCTTTGTTATTGTTTGATATATCCGCATGTTAGTGTAAAATAACATTAACCTGCAACTGCAAAAAGTGAATGTCCTGTGTCCATTTTCTGTAAGTGCAAAAAAAAGATACCAACCATTGAACTAAAGTTTTTGTATTTTCAAATAAATTTTGGCCTGGGTAAAATTGGAATTTTGGAAGGAAAGGTAACAAAAAAATTACACAGGGACGTAAAAGAAAGTTAGTCTAACATAAAAGAATTCAATCACAGTCATCATGCACAAAAAGTATAAAAATACTCCCACAACCTAAAGACTGTAGTTCGTCCAAAACAGTTGATAGTGAAAACGATAAGAAGTACGAAGAACCTAAGCCTAAAGTTAATCCATCATGGCAGATGAGAATTAAATTGAAAAATACTGCATTGATAAGTGATCGGTTTGGAGTATCAGATAGGGCAACAGCAGCTATCGCTTCCAGTGTGTTACAAGATGTTGGAATCGTAACTGCTGATGACCATTCTCATGTTATTGGCAAAAATAAACTTAGAAGGAAAAAAATATCTATCGCACAAAACTTCAAAATGAGAGCAAAAAAAAAGCACAGCCTAATCCAAGGACTTTACTTTGATGGAAGAAAGTATAACACTGTTGTTATTGAAAAAGTTAACCAAAAACATTTTCGAAGAATTATAAAAGATAAATAAATAAAAGTAAAATTTAATATGCATTGCAAAATATCGCAAACGTTCATTCTTTTTTTACAATCCAAGTTATTACTTGGATTGTATAGAGAGAATTTAATAATAAATATAATTTTTTCATTTACAAATATATGACTTATGAATAAAATATTACTTTAAAAGAACATTAACCTTAAAACTAAAAAGTATTAACTAGTATAAACTGTATCTAACCGGTTTAAAATTAAAGACATGTCTTATTTTTTGGCCAATGTAAACATTAAATGATTATGTTTACCATACATTTATATCACATACCTATTTTTACTTACCGCGTATTCTATTAAATTCTGTGTTGTTTAGATTATATTACGTACCGTGTGAATAAAAATTTAGCTAGCATGTTGAGCGATTATTTGCCCTAAGCAGAAATCTTTGGGAACCTGCAGCTGTGAGCATCGACCCCACTCATTATAATGAAGATGTGTAATCATTACTCTCAAACCTATTTTACTTTTTGATACCGATATATATATATATATAAATATTATAATATTTAGAATACCATTTATTTAAAACTATTTAAAATTTAATTGAAATGATTTATCATTGTCAATATTAATATCAAATATATTTTTAATTGATTTTTTCCACTCACCTTTAAAACGCCCATTATTGTATATGTTTCCATGACACCAAGTGACATTTTAAATACACCTTGCCAAGGTGTGGCTTTATAGCATTTTAAACACGGGCTGAAGTTAGTTTTAAGTTAGTTGACAGTTGTCAAATGTCATACAATCGTTAAAATAATACTAAATGTAAAAATTATGTTATTATTTAATATAAAAATACAAAAGTATTAAATAGTTTCTCAACGCCAATATTTGAAAAGTTTATATGATCATTGTACTGACCTTTTAATTTTGCCGGCAGTAAAGTAGATATTTCGGGCTCGGACTCCACCGTAAAGTGCTCATAAAACATTTAAAGCTCATTCACATCCACTTAATATGCGTAACTTAACTTAACGTACGTGAGAGACGTAAGTTGAAATACATTGAAACCAATGCAGCTGTTTACATTCGTAGAAAACTTATCACACGTAACTTAACGTATCCAAAAGTTGGGTCCTGCTCAACTTAAGGGAATACGTTTCTTACGTGAGCCAATCACATGCCCAGTAAAAGCTTTTACTTCATTTTCATTGTGAAATACTGTTGTTAATCCATTTTCAAGGGATACATTTCGATTTATAACACATAAAAATTTGACATTTAATGGTAACACAGATTCCCCTATAGTTTTATAGATGTCACTCTAAAGAAATATTTTATTTAAATCATGTTAAGATAATAATAAGTACCTATTTGTCGTAAATCACATCGTTATAAAAATTTGCATATCAAAGTTACATTTTTAAAAATTTTACTATGGAGTGTTATAATATTGATTATTGCTGTGCATTGTTTATTTTTTAAATAGCAATGCGTAATTTATATGAAAAAAAAAATAAGTTGAAAAGAACCATTTGACCCAGTTATCGACATGGGTAAATTTGTCTTGAACCAAATATCGACAACCTTGTGTACGTAATATCGACACTCGAAAAAGTAACTTGTAAATGACTTAAATGGTTATATTAAGTAAGACAAAGTAATAGTACTTAAACTCTTCATTTTATTTACAACCTATGTCAATAATTTCACCTGGTAGTGATTGCTCGTTATAATTCACTATAACATAATCGTTTACAAATAACTTTTCTGAAGTCATACTTACAAATATTTTTTTCTAATTCTTCACTATTTTTAATAATGTTTTTGCTTGAGGAAGACATCTTCTCTGGGTTATTTTTTTCTGTATTTAATTTATTTTCATTTTTTTTATGTTTTTCTTTCTGTTTTTTTATTTAGCATCTCTTCCTTTTCAGCCAGTCTCTGTTTCCGCTTTTGTTTGTTTCTTCTTTTCTTTCTTTTCTTTGTAATTCAATGTTTTTTTCTTTTCGTTTAAAATAGTCCGGCCATTTTTCCGAAAAAATTTCTTTTCGTGGTGTTTGGTTTTGGTGTTGGCCAGAATAGCGCTTTTTTAAATGGTGATGGTACTTTGCCTTCCAAGTTTAAAGACTTATTTGTGGACATATTCTTCTTATTCAATTTTCTTAAAGAAACTCAGAAAATGTTTACCTTAATGTTTAGCCCGGTTGGGCTAATTGGCTAAATTAGCTATACAGATCCTCAGTTTAATAAAACAGTTGACTAAATTCACGATACGTCATTTAACAATACTTTGGATGGTTATTTTGGCAAAATTTTTCTCTCCGTGTTGCCCAATATAGGTCGAAATAGCTGTCGGTTTTAAGTTGGTGGAACACACTCAAATAAAAAACTTTGGCGAGGTTTAGGTTCAATTTTTTCTTATTCTTCTTATTATTTAATTTTAAATTCTCCTGTACAGCCCCGGGTTTTTTGTTTTTGTTTTTACATTCTCAATTAAAACTTGTGTTGCTTTATTAGCTAGTTCAATCATGGGTTTATCGATGTCTTTATTTTCATGTAATGTTTCTTCGCTATTTAAAGGTAAATGAGTATCTTCAATATTTGCACTGTTAGGGGTTTTATCAGATTCTTTAGTCACTTCCACAACACCAAGGGTTAATTAATTACTATCTATATTATTTAATAAAATAGTCTCTTCATTATTATTATTATTTGAAGTCATTACCATTTGCTTCTGGCACATTTATATCTAATGGCAATTTTCACTGCTAAAGGGTTTATTACATGCATTAATGGATGATACATTAATATCTTTGTGTTCTTTATTTTGTAGTAAATCCTCTTTATTATAATTTATATCGTTGGAAAAAATGTAAACCGTTTTATTATTGCTTTCTAACTCATTTACCATTTGAAAGTCATTACCATTTGCTTCTGGTATATCTACAACTAATGGAAATTGCAAATTTTTAATGTCAAGTAGGCCTGTAATATCCAGTTCATCAGATGTAACGTTTTTATCTAATTGCACATCTGATTTATTAATTGTAAAATCGTCTGCATCTGTTGAGTTGAAGCTTGTATCTTCAATCGCACCTTTCCAAGTTTCTTCAGTAGCCTTGAAAATATCTAATTTTTCGGGATATTTTTTCTAGTAAATCTGAAAACAGCTCAAGGTCCTCAGGACTGCCCTACCTTGTGAGTAATAGGTTTTGGTTTCCTTTGGTAGCTATAAACAATCATAGGTGGAGGAAGTTCTCTTGAAGCGCTGCACATAACCAAAGTTGTCAGGCATTCTTTTTCGTCATTATTAATAAATGAATAAACCCCTTTTTCACCTTTCTTAACCAAAACCTTATCATTTTTGGGGCTTAAAAAAGCACTTTCATCTCAGTTATATATACGAGAGGGGTTAGATGTTATATACAATTGTTCAGTATCAGATAAATAATCTTTGACTTCTTGAAACCAACGGCGGATTTTCTCTTCAGTTATGGTGGCTCTAGCATTGGTAAGATTTTGGGAAACTCTTTGTTAAACTTTTGGATGCCGCATCATAAAGGCCTCATACCAATGGCGACCTGGTCTTCCTTTGGTAAAACTATTTTCTCTGTTTAGCTTTTTCAATAGTAATTGTACACTATCTATAAGCTGCAATGTTCCTGGGCCTTTTTCCTGTTCTTAAATGATGTCCTTACATGAGAGTAACCTAGATCGTAAACAAAAGTCCACTAGATTAATAATCTCTTCATCTAGGCTCGCCTCACGTAATTTCCGAAATCCAATCCATAGGGATTTTTATAAAAAGGGAGATCCCATTTAAGCTCAATAGAATGTTAGCGTTCAGTTTACTGTCCTTTATCTTGGTGATAAAGTGCTTCGAATTAACAATGTGGTGGTGATCCATTTTAAAATAAAATATGTTAACAGGAGCTGTTTTAAAATTACTGAGTGAAGAAAACCTATTGTAAAAAATATACAAATTACTTTTGTTTAAGTTATGCTTTAAAAAAATGTATATTTTGACGATTGTCTAAAAAAGAGTTTTAAAATTATAATTTTAAATAAATTTATAAATTTAAGTTATAAACTATAAAACTAATTATAAAAATATTAACCTTTGAGGGGTAACTTTTTTACAATTACCTAGGCTGAAAATTTTAGTTTTTAAGTTGTATGACTTTTCTATTATCGGAGCGATATATTGACCGTGTCGACGTTCATGTTGACGAAAATGTCAAAGTCGTAAAAAAAATCGACATGCACTGCCAACAAAACCAAAATGTCGTTTTTCGATATAAAAACAAAGCTAAATCATTGCGAATTCAAGTTATTAAAGGCATTCGAGTATGTCGAGTTGACAAAAATTTCGACCGTCAAAAAGCTCGACAAGCTGTGCCAAGAAAACTTAAATGTCGTTTTTTTAATTTAAAAATGTATATCAGACTATGATTATATTGTGTGTAGAGGATATCAGGCAAAGCTAAATCTTTGTGAATTAAATTTATTAGAGGCATTCGAGAATGTCGAGTTCGCGACGCGTCGTCAAAAGGCTCAACATACTGTGCCGTCAAAAATATTTTTTAATTTTTAAATAATTGTAAAATAAAATTCTATCCTAAATGGGCTAAGAGAATCATTGCAAATTAACTTCATTATATGCATTTTAGAATGTCGACGTTGACATGGTTTGTAGGGCTGTTAAGCAAAAATGCATTATCTATAATATTAATTTATAAAGGACAAAAGATCATTATTATTGTTAAAAACAATAAAATTTATGTTTTGTCCTTTATTACAGATAAGGCATTTTTGGTTAAC